GGCACAAGTCTTAGGAACCTACTGTCATATACAGGCGTAGCAGATGCAGGGTTGAGAGATAATTTAAATCATTCTGCACAAAGTAAAAAGTGCGCCTTATGCTGGGGTTATGTCCATCCATCTGTGGCCAAGTTTCAACGCCTGAATAATTAGACAAGACTGTTTAAAATTCGACATCGGAGGTTTTCACCAAACGTGTCAGGAAATCCAGTTTTTAGGCCATATTAATCCACAGCGAAACGTACTTTATATAAGAGTATTACGTTAATCCCTCGCTTAACCTGTTAGTTAATCCGGATGTCGAATAATCAGGATAAAAATATGAAAATTGAAAGCATCTGTTCTCAGTTGAGTACACACTTTAAAAGACACATTGGGTTTAGGGGCAAGAGGGACTAGAGAAAGAGGACCTTTAGACTGTGTTGAGGGCAGCTGGAGAGTGAAACCACGCAAGAAAATATGCAAGATTGGCTTGAGTTGTATGAAGGACACCCTGGATTTCAGCTTCTGAAAGAGGAAGAAATTATTGCAATAATGTTTTTTTTTGCTTTCATCAGCGCTACCAATATTATTAAATTTCCTATTTATTTGTTTTCTATTTTTTATTTTATGGCTATCTTCTTCATTTGAATTAGTAAGGGTTTACTGTATTGTGTTTCGTCGGGAGTTTGGGCCCTGAAGACGGGAGACAGAAGCCAGTCTACGAAAAGTTGTGTTTCAAATGAAAACAGGACGATGGATACGGTCCAATTGTATATTGTGACATGTAAAACCATTGCTAGGCAATTCCCAGAGCACACACCGGCCAACAATACAGGAGCAGTGTTTTCTTTGTGTCCGCGTATCGGGCCGTTGCTATGCAACGCGGTGAGGTCACACAACAGTGGGTAGCGGTCACGTGACATGTGTTTTCTGTGATGTGTCCGTGCAGAATTCCTAGCAGGAGTAGTAAGCGGCAGGAATGCAGCAGTCAGCAGTCAGCAGTAAGCTGGAGGAATACAGAAGAGAGACTTGAGGAGCACAGACGAGTACAAAAAGTCAGCCTGTGAAGACTTAACTTTAGATTTGAAGACATTATGGGTGCTGTAGTATAGTGACTTCGGGAGCATGTGATTTAGTGAGATTTCTATAGTCCCTGTTATAGATCCGTTGCCAGGAAACGGACAGTGATGACCAGTGGAAATCGAATATTAGCTTGGAGTGTGTAATCAGCCATAGTGTAATAATTATTTGTAGTTACGCCCTGTCAGTGGTCAGTAAATCTAATTACCAATCCGAATTTCGTCTAGTCACTAATGCACGCGACAACTGGTGTCAGAAGTGGTTACGATCGTAAATTCGTGACAGTATATCCTGCTTGCTTTACCCAATTCATTTTATTTTGAATGACACCGTTTACAAATTGGCCGCAAGTACAAGCACAATGAACTATGACAACGCGCGTTGGGAATTGGTGTCCTTCATTATGGAACGTCGGTAATCTAGAAATCTTCTGAGCACGGGCGCCGACAGGAATGGAAATTCAGGCATCTGTCCCCCAAACTTCACATTTTTTTAAGGAATCAAATACTGAGGGGGGAAAAAAAAATATGCCAAATATTAATTCCGAAAATAAAGATTCTGATTTACATATATGTTCTCCTATCTATATATTCTAGAGTCATCAGTAAAAAATATTCTTAAACGGCTATAAGGTAAGTTTATGTACTATACAACGGTAAAATAACCGATGTTCATAGCCGAAAAATATATTTCTAACCGATATAGTTTTTCTGCAGCAGTTGTTGAGTAAACAGCGAAAGTGTCGATCAAGAAGGAGTGAAAAATTGATAAGATGGTGGAACATGATGACTTGCTACGATGAAGCTTCATATGGGCAACACACAGAGCATATGTAAAACAGAATTCTGAGAATAAACATTACCAAACCCCGAATAAGTCTGCCGAAGAAGCATAAGGCGAAACAAATCAACAAATTGCGAAAACAAAATCGAGCAGACTGCATCTGTAACATGTGTGGGGATTGGAGCTGCTGACAGAAGACACGTGGCGGGACTGAGCCTGCTGACAGAAGTAATATGTGTGAGGACTACACCTGCTGACAGAAATCGCATGTGTGGGGACTGCACCTGCTGACGGAAGTCAAAGGTGTGGGGGTCGTACGTGCTGACGGAAGTCATGTGTGGGGACTACTCGTACACTTCCTGACATAAGTCACATGTGGGTACTGCACCTGCCGTTGAAGTTACATGTGTGGGGACTGCACCTGCTGACAGAAGTCACATGTGTAGGGACTGCACCTGCTGTTGAAGTTACATGTGTGGGGACTCTACCTGCTGACAAGTCACATGTGAGGGGACTGCACCTGCTGACAGAAGCCAAATGTGTAAGGACTGCACCTGCTGTTGAAGTTACATGTGTGGGGACTGCACCTGCTGACAGAAGTCACGTGTGAGGACTGCACCTGCTGACAGAAGTCACATTGTGAGGACTACACCTGCTGACAGAAGCCACATGTGTGGGGACTGCACCTGCTGACAGAAGTCAAATGTGTGGGGACTGTACCTGCTGACAGAAGTCACATGTGGGGACTGCACCTGCTGACAGAAGTCACATTGTGAGGACTACACCTGCTGACAGAAGCCACATGTGTGAGGACTACACCTGCTAACAGAAGCCACATGTGTGGGGACTGCATTTGCTGACGGAAGTCACATGTGTGGGGACTTCACATGTTGACAGAAGTCAGGTGTAGGTACTGCAGTTGCTGACAGAAGTCAGGTATAGGTACTGCACTTGCTGACAGAAGTCATATGCTTGGGGACTGACCTTTCTGCAAGAATTATCATACGTAGGGACTGTACCTGCTGACATAGTCGAACACAGTTCTAGAAACTTAAGAGAACTGCAGTACAGTAAGTGAGTAAGAGGAATCAATCCCCACCCTATAGAATCTCGTCAGAGAAAGCGTAATTATTTAATAAAAAAAGGATTTACCACAAGTGTTGTAAAAGGGTACCACTTTAAGCTCGTATTCGGGAGCTCACAGTCGGCTCACAGAAGTAGTGAGGCTGTTACACTTATGCCCGGCCGTCATTTACGTTAGAGGCTAGGTCGACGTCAGCGCCATAATTCGGCTGGAAGGATTAGGTCAGTTTAAAATATCCAGTGACCTCATCGGGAATTGAACCCGCGACCTTGTGCTGTTGCTTTGTTGGTCTCGAGGGCATAATGCTTTACTTATAATAATCCACTTGTTACGAAATTTAACTAATTCTGTTTCCCACCGGGGAATCGAAAAATGCTGCGAAATTTACTCCCTGCTCCTACGAATATGTAAGTCAAGGGTGTTGAAGACATGCACTGGTCCTGAGGAGGGGGGGGAGCTTTTGTATTCGAATCGGATCCTCGTTATGAAACTTTTTCAAGTGCGTGAATAAATTTAATTTCATGAGCACCGATCCTTTTGTTGAACTACTGTGTACGAGCAGTTCACAGTGGCCGCGAAGTCTAAGGCTCTGTCTTAGGGCCGCGCCATAGCTCAAGCGGTTAGTCGCTGGCTTCCCGGGTTCGATCCCGGGTGAACATCGTGAAGCTGGGGCGGGTTTTTATCCGAGTACTTCGGTTTCCCTTGCCAATCTTCATTCCACCAACTTCTCCATCATCATAATCACCCGGTGAAGGCTACAATAGGCCAATCAGTGGCCGCCGTGCCGAGTGGACCCAGTTGGACTCCACTCCCCACTAAGCGAATTAAAAGAAAGGCTCTGTCTTCGCTCACTCGAACGTTGGGATCGTGGGTTCCAATCCCACTCAAGGCATGGGTATCAATATGCGTCTATTCTTTGTTTCTGTGCAGGTAGAGGCCTTGGAACGGGTTGATTCCACGTCCGAGGAGTCCTACCGACTGTGTATAGGATTTAGGAACTGAGAAAGCGGCTATAATGAGCAGTATATCTGTATGTACAGTATATTATGATAATGACAAGGAGAACAACCACATCCAGGGAGAAGGGCGAATATTCCTTTTAGCCATATAAAAGTCTCGATGTTTTGCACAGCGATGGTTACCTATCCGTATTAGGGATTTGACAACCCTGTAAATGGAAGAAACAAATTTCTCCGAAATTTTGTCATCCATCTGCAACGCTACACGGTGTCAAACCCCCAGAAAACAACGAGTCAACAGTTTTGTCACAGTTACTATTACTGCGGGAACCAGTTTATGCGTCTCTCAACACGTGACATTAATGCTACGTCCTGCTCTCCCACACAACACAGCACATTCGAATGTGTATTGAGCCAGTTTAGTCCGCCTTATATTACCACTGAACCCAACTTCACGGTCGAGCTGTGGCACCCCTGCTTCTTAGTTGAAAGGTCTCAGTTTCAGATCCGGGCCCGAATACCGGCTAATCTAACAGAGATTTTCAGGATCCCTCCAGGCAAACGCCCTGACAGTACCTAAATATAAGCGACGTTATCTTCCTGCCAAATCCTTTCCACTTCATCATTCATCAATTATCCAACCATTCTGCACTTTTTAACCTGAGATACTGACAACCTCTTTGAAGAAAATATCACTAATCTCCTTTCCGTTTGTCTTCCAGACGCCTTTCTACAATAAATTTCATCTCCAAAATTCAGTTGATTTCTTGTTTCTCTGATTCAATATTATAAGTGCCCTGACAATAGTAATTTTGTCGTTGCCAGGGATCGAACCATACAACGTCTCAGTGAAATGTGCAGCAGAATTTCTGTTTCATATTCAAGAGCTATTGGTTTAAATCTCTACCGGATAACTAGATATTTCCTTGAATTCCCTCGAGATAGCAGCCGAAACTAAACCACAGCCACTGTTTTCCACGATCTTTCCAATTGAGTAAAAATCCTATCATTCGACAAGCTGATAGTGCTGACAGTACCGTCAAATAGAAAATAAATAAGCAAAAAATGGAGCCAATCAATACGAGAGCAGACCTCGCTCTGCTGTTACTCACGAGAATGTTGATGCTGAATGTTGGTGGCGCTCTGATGCACGCAATAGCACCTTCACTTGTCCTCTCTCACTGCAACATGGAGACACTTTTTCACGCTACGCTGTTGTTTTTATCGGACAACTGACAACCCCACAGCGCCTTTCACAGGCGAATCCCTCCAACTGAGTGGGTCCTCAGCAGAATGCTGTGAAGTGGAGGCCATCTGGCGCATGCTCAGAGCAATCCGGGGGAGGGTGACCGCGGCGCGTCGCGTCACAAACACAATTACGTCAACTAAACTATTTCTTCAGGCTTAGTTACAAACACAAAAATCCCCTCCGCTACCACAATACTTCCCCCATCCTCGTTTAAATTAGAAGGGGAGCCAATATTTGATATAGAAGGCAGTGGGAAAGGCAATTTTATGCTGACGCAATGTAGCGACACAATGTCTGAATACAGGTTGTGTGGATGGAATTAATAATGACGCAGTCTCCGGTCAGGAATTTCACTTCTGAGGTTGGCAAACCTGGTGGGGATTTCAAGTCAATATGTAGCTACTGCTTAATGAACGAGATCATGTAATGCAGGTATATCGCTAACGGAGAAGGTAAGCACGAAGACTGCCATGGCGTTCTGTAAACCAAAAACACAACTCGGGAAAAATGGCCGTAGCCCACGCAAATTACCCAACGACGCCTAAGATTTATTATGAGTAGGAGATAGAAATGGTGGGTAAAGGAGTGACTGACTCAATGGAGCTGAGCCTTCCTTGAGAAGCCGCCAGTCGCTCAGCCACTCAACAGTTTCCCAACGTTTTGCCGAACCCAAAGGTTCATTACTATGTTCACAAAAGCCTTCCACTGGTACCTATCCTGAGCCAGATTAATCCAGTCCATACCGCCCCAAACTGTCTCTGTAAGATCGATCTTAATATTATCCACCCACCTATGTATTGATCTTCCCAGTGGTCTCTTTCCTTATGACTTTCCCAGCATAATCCTATATGCATACCTCTTTCCCACATGCGTGCTACATGCCCTCCCTGTCTCACATACTATGATTTTATTGTTCTACTTTGCGAAGGGTACAAGTTATGAAGCTGCTCGTTATGTAGTTTCCTCCAACCTCCTGTCGCTTCATCTCTCTTCGGTCCCAATATTCTCGGTATCCTCTTTTCAGACACCCTCAGTTTGTGTTCCCCCCTTAATGTAAGAGACAAAATTTCATAACCATACAAAACACAGTGAAGTAAAGCTATCCCTGTAACAGTCCATGAACGCCCATAGGGTGGTGAGACGTTGAGGGCCCCACATTATCTAGACAATCGGCTCAAAGATGGCGGTAAAGTTGTCAGTCTTACGCGCCGGCCGCGCTTTACTCCTCAGGAAAATGATTTAATTCCTGGTACTCATTTCTGTTAGAGGCTGAGTCGACCCCAGGGCCATAGTGCGGCTGGAAGGATTAGGTCAATTGAAAAAAAAAATATCCAAGGACCTCATCGGGACTTGAACGATGCTGACACAAGCTCAGATTATGTAGCGTCGAATGCAGGATACTTAGTCACTAATTGGGCCGCGACATAGGTTAAGCGGTTAGTCGCTGGCTTCCCACCGCGGCGGCCCAGTTTCGATCCCGGGTCTGGTCAAATGGGATTTGTGGTGGACAAAGTGGCGCTAGGGCAGGTTTTCTCTGAATACTTCGGTTTCCCCTGCACAATCTTCATTCCACCAATTGCTCCACAATCACCCTCACCTATCATCTGGGGCTGGTACAATAGGCCAGAAGTGGCCGCACTACAAGGGACTTAAGGCTCATTCCAATAGCAATAAAAAATGGTCACTAATTCAATTGGAAGGGTGTGGAAAAGAAGCGGAATTTTAATTGTTTCACCGGCATTTGCCTGAAGAGGCCCAGGAAAATCACAAAATACCTCAGTAAGGAAAGCCACCGTCCGGTCTGAGATTTGAACCACCACTTTCATAGTGGATTAAAGAATGCTGTCCAATCAATCCCAGCGAGATTCGTATTTGATAGTCACCGAATTAATTTCTCTAATAACTTGCGTTAATAAGAGTATAATTGCCAATATGAACATGTCCTGGAAAGAAAGTAAAATTTGGCACTAACTTCGCCGACAAACGGCGGTCGCTCGGTCGGTATACTTTGACCAGTGCAAATAATAAATACTTAAGAGATAACTTATGTAAGAAAAATATGATGGGCAGTAAGCCAAAAGTTATTGCACAATGAAGGAGCTCTATGCAATTAAATTTATTTTATTCAGTAGTTATATTGACTGGATTTCTGGTATTTATCTTGTCACATGATGGAGTGGCTATAGACGGGTTCGGATTGGTAATTGGATTTATTTGGCACTTCAAAACACAGATCACTACCATAAAAGTCTATGTTCTCAGTCACGGCCTTCATTAGCCGTTCCTTGATAGCTGCTTCCAACGTCGGATGTTCCACTTCTTCTGGGTTCCCGAACTGCCGTCGGCTTCAGCTACCAGCTTCTCACTTCTCACAACTGCAACTCTCAACTGTCTTTCTGTCTTAAGACTCTCTCTCTCTCTCGAGTTCTCGAGTATCAGCTGGTCTTCGTTATATAGCCTTGGCACTGACCGCACAGAAAACACCGCGTCAAAAACACTTTTATTGTTGCGTTTGTCGAGGCTATCACGTAACGACTACAGAGCCATCGCCTAGCAGCGGTTTGTTTACAGAGCCGTTCACTGGCAACGGCTGGCTTCACAGTTATTCTAGCTTTAGACTGACATGCCACAACATTCATGTCTCGGTAATTTTGGGAGTTTTACTGCTATGAGAATTCATGTTGTCATCTTCTATGTCATGATACCTTGTAGTCTGGTGACTGGTAGGAACAGCATGCTTCCATCTTTAAGGCATGTCACGGCGTCATAACCTAGGAGAATAGAATCCAGAGTCAGATCTGCTAACAAGCCCACAACAGAAATGTCCTACGTTATCTCCCTTCGGGTTGGCTTACGAAACATCTGGGCATCACAGCAAAACTGAGGGATCCTTTGGGTTCTCAGTGTTCTATTGTGTTCATAATGGAGGGACGATGTTTTCTTTGAAATCGGAGCGGAAGTATTGAGCCTAAACTGTTTATGTGAAGTGTTGATGCTACAGTAGTGCAATGTGTGGTCCAACTTCACCGTCGTCCGCGAGTTCAAAACTAGGCACGCCCACACTCTGATCTCCTCACCCTTTATTCTCCAGTTGCTTCCCACCCCCATCCCCCGTCAAAATCCCGGTAAGTTTAGTTCATTCCCTCCAACCCTTCTTCTCGCAACAGTTCCTTTCCAGTCATACTGCACAGAGGGGTGTACAAACTACAAGTATAACTTAAGCCAAACCCAACGCTACTGACACAGAGCTAGTAGAACTGAGTTGAGAAACAGTTGGTTCAGCGGTGTGTAATTGCTCACAACTCAGGGACTATTACACTGCTACACTCTGGTCTCTGAAAGTTTATAATTTATCCGTGAATTCTGAAGTTCATTCAAATTTTCGTCTTATAATGACAACATTTAGTGCTACTGGTGGATACTAATGTTTCGGAGGGAGTTTCTGCCTCCGTCTTCATGGTGATGGTATCCATCCATGGCACTATATTGTGCTCTAAGCCAGAATACAACAATGTGAATATTCATTTGCTTGAAAATCTTCAAATCAAAATCCACAATAGACAGCTCCAGAGAGTGTGAAAGGATATACACGTATCCCTGGAGGGGCCACGCTGTAGCGCAGTTGGTTGAGGCACTATGCCACAAGCCGGAAGATCGCGGATTCGAATCCCGATGAGGTAATTGGACTTTTCCATTGACCTAATCCTTCAAGCCGCACTATGGCCCTGGGGTCGACTCAGCCTCTAACAAAAATGAGTACCAGAAATATTCTTGGGGGTAAAGGGCGGCCGGCGCGTAAGGCTGACAACCTCACCACCATCTGTTAGTCGATTGTCTAGAAAATATGAAAACCTCTATGTCTCATAACCGTACGGATCTACACGGCCTGTTACAGGGTTAGCTCTATCTTTACATTCCTGGAGAGAGTTAGTCAAACGAAACTTCACGAATCAACATTTACCATAGGATAATTTTTGTAATGGGTACTGTGTTCCCGGGCGACTACAAAACAAAAAATATGAATCTTCTTTAATAGAGAACTGTCTGCACTAGGGGATTAATATTTACTCGTATTTATTTATTTATTCATACTTTCGCTTGTCTAGCTGATTATGCACTTCGGATACGATACATTGTGTACCTCTTAAAACCTGTCATTTTCCTTTCATTTTAGCGCTACAAAAACTTGCGACAAAGCTGCTGTTATCCAATCCATATTTCTGTCCGCATGTTACAGCTCGAAAACCGCCCAAAGTCTTTTCGTGATATTTTATACAGGAAAGTGCAACAATAATTTATCTATCATTTCCAATTTTGCTTGAAATCAGATGTTAATTAGGGGGACATTACATGAAGACTTACATGCTTTTCTGCTCACAACTCTAGGGTAATTCGCTACAGATTTACTGGAGAGGTGTGTTTTGAACAGATGTTATAAAGAGACTTAAACAAAAACTTTAGGCCAATAAATGTTTTTCCATGGGCCTAAATCTTACTTTTTTCGAATTAATTAAATATAAGAGCATGGATATGTCAGATTCTTTGCGCCTCTGCTTTCTGTATACCACCCACCTTTCATCCTTATCTTCATATCCTCCTCTTCCTCTCTCTCGGGGTGTGCGCTGTACACCCCTGACGTGCCGTCTTAACAAGCCTTGAAACACTTCCCTAAGTATCTTCCTCGATCTCTCACAACGCACCATCTGTGCCTGATAGCGTGGCTTCCCTTGGCTTTTATTTCTAACTTGTTTGAAAATTATTACGATTATTATTCAAAATGAAAACCGTCTTAAACATTACTTAATAAAACTTCTCTCTGCGCAGCGTTGCGAAACTTCCGTTTCAACTCGAACGAGCAATTTACCTAAGTGGCTCCCCTCCCACCGACTTGCATTATCGCTGTGGGAATCCCCGCAGACTGAACCAAAACTGCCACGCCAGATGGGGCAAGTGGTTTCACCCCGTATTTCAGGGCGCGAGTCGCGTCTGTTCTGTTCCTTTCATCACCCCACTACGTATCTATCAAGAAATT